AGTCTAATTATTTTCTTCATGGACAGGAACATCACTGTTATCAAATTATTAAGTAAATCTTATATATCTGTAATAGTTACTGTTATCAAGTAAATAAGTAGATTTTATCATATTCTTTCTGTTTAAATGTTTGAATTACTCATGTGTTTGAAGTTATATTACTCACTTTAATTATGTAATTGTTACTCATTTACTTTTGATAAATGTTACCTAAAAAAATGTAATAATCTATGCATTTAATATACATTGAGCACAAATCACACAACTAAAATACAATACAATTAAACTTTATTTTGTCAACATTAAATATAATTTTTGCTAAAAGATAACATATAAAACCCCAAATACTACACACTGAACCTTTAAGTCTAGATACTCAATAAGCACAATGTCAGCAGTCATAATAAAAAATAAAATCTCATCAGTCATAATAAAAAATGTAAGAGTGGCATGACTGGAATGGTAATTGTTGCTCTATTGAAAAAAATATTAAAGTATGAGTAAATAGTAACCCATGGGTCTGCTGTTCTGTAAAACAATTCAATCACTATTAACCAACATTAACTTATCAAAAATATAAAATAAAAATATCACTGCCACAAGACAAATCTACTCCATCAACATAGATTTGGAGTGGTGCTTTTTAAACATTCAATAAAAACATACAGCTCCCTGAAACTGAGCAATTGCAACATTTAAACATATAATTATGTATAAAGGAATTAATGAGCAGGAACAAATACAGAATAACATACAAACTTAGTATAAACAGAATTATCCTGCAAAGAAAACTGTTGATACATAGAAGCCATAACAGTTTAGGTAACTTTAGTGCATGTGCTTTGAACATCTGAACATGTTGAACATCTATCCACACTAAATATATTCAACATGGGTTCAGCCAGCGATCAGGAAATAATTCCTGCTGCTTTGAGCAGGCAGAAGGCACGCTGAAAGGGGCTTTATCAAATAAAGTAAAAATAAACAGAGGGAGCCGTTGCGACACATTTAGCCAAAGCTAAGCCACAGGAATCCTGCAGGAAAAGTGTGATGCTTTTTTAATCCAACCCCAAACCAATTCTAGGGATGTAGACTAAACAAAGAACCACTAAGTAAACCACTATATTCACATCAGTGCATCTCATTGCATATCATGACAAATCACTCTTACAGCTAAATTGAAGACTAGAGGCAATCTTGATCTGCAACAAAACATACTAGTTATCATGAATACAACTTGAGGCCAAACATATAGAAATAATACATTTTGAAGGAAAATAGAGTTATGAAACAAAAATATTTATTATGAGATACAGTACAGGGCAGAAGCCTATTCATCCTAACACACAAGAGGAGTTTTAAGAAGAAAGGTTAGTATTAGTGTTCTGTACACATTTCAGGAGCAGTCAGGGTTACAATGCACACTTTATCAACTATTTAAATCGAATGTATGAGGCAGAATGTATGAGGCAGAATGTATGAGTTTTTCATGTAATGACAAGTACTGACAATACTTAATGGAAACAACCATAATTAATGTAAAGAGGCGTAGTCTTCACACTAATGAGTTAGACTCTATCGAGGTATACTTCCACAAGGATTTTGGCTCCTTTCATCAGAGTAGTAAGTCGCTATTCACATCTGTGAGACAGATGAACATAACATTTGACAGCACACAATGGATGATATGGGCAGATACATGTTTGATCGAGAAGGTTGAAAAGAACCCACAAAACCCACCAAACTGTAGTGTTTTCATGTTCAGAGTTGGCATTTTGTCAAAGAAAGCACTCAGTGATCACAGCACAGATTTCAGTGCAGGAGTACTTCAAAACTGTTTCCATCTCTAATGACTCTACATTCAAACTTCTTAAGAAGTATTTTTACAAATGAATGTGAAAAATCGTGCTCAGTTTAAAATGTGTCAGTATGCAATGTGGTTGAGCAATATTTTTCTCTCCCAGAAATCCCCATTACAGACCTGCTACAGGCTTTAACATGCACTCTATATATTCACATTGTCAAACCTGATCTGAAGCTTTCATTTATAGAACTCCTATTGTCATTGGCAAGATATGAAAAACAGTAACACGTGTAAGTCCTCCATTGAACGCCTCAATAGTGAAGATAAATGTCTTAAGCCTAGTTATTCATTAGAAGTATTTAGTCTACATCATCACAGGCTTGAGCTATGACTCTAAATCCACCATTTACTATGCCAAACAAATCATGTGTTTTATTATTAAGCAACAACTGAGAACAGACATGATGGTAATCCCTTTAGACACTTACCAAACCAAATCGTCACTAAAAAGCCATCAAAGGATTTACTGATATTGACATAAGAACACATATAAACAACAATTGCTATAATTATGATTCCCTTAGCCCCTGGGCTCACTTTTAGTTACGGGTAATTTTGTACATTTCTCTGTAGATAATTGTGTTGCCTGCTGTAATTATGTTGCTATGATTCTGAGTGGGATATGAAAAACATACGTATCAAGCCAACAAGAGATTAGGTGATGCAGTGTTCTTGCTAGTCACTTGTAGGTGCAGCCTAATCTCCTTGTGCTGTAACCATGACAATAACAATCGCCTACGCACTCTTACACAAATAGATCCTTGAATCTTTCGAGTGTACAGATTCTGCCCTGAACAATCAGCCAGTCACTGTGAACAGCCCGCTTAGTTTGATATGATTTCTCCTCATCAGACAGCATGTTGTCTGCATTACACCTGTTGCACAATGACTGAACAACAAGATCAAATACTTACATGCAGTATCTAGAAAAAACTAAATACAATGTATGTCATTATTTAAATCACAGAGTTAAATAAACAAAAAGCCTGTAAAGTCCACTGTAACACTTTAGTTATTTGTAACAAAAAGCCCATTTCTCATGACACTCTCACAGGTGTTTTCAATTACTGGATGATTAGACATCTAGTCAGGCGAGAGCTTGAAATAATATTATGTCACACAACTTTGTGGATCAATAAGATTGATAACATTGTAATAGGTGCAACAATATAAACAGGTGAGATGAGTTCTAATCAGGCAACATAAGTGAAAACACCTGTGAGTGAGTAAATGTGGGCTATAATCTTATAACAATTTGATTGCGAAAAAAGGAATGCTTGACTTTTTAAGTCTGCTCAAGCCAAGTATAAATATATCATGCCTTATTTGAAAGGTCAAAACAAAAAGGTCAGAGGTCAGGGCTACACAATGTTTATATTTACATGTTCTATAAAGACACTTAACCAAGGTGGGAGGCTTGCTGACAGAAGCAGCCTCAACGTGAATCCTGTGGTTGAATCCTGTCTCCTTTTTAATTTGCCCCCCATTTTTAGATATAAAGATCTGAGAGAGCGTGAGATTATCTATAGCAAGTTTGTCTAAAAGCAGCAATCCCTACATGCCTCAATGAAACATCTAAACTAACTTTATTGGCTAAATTTAGTTTAGAAATCCCAATCCTCTTTCAGAGTATTTAATGGCAACTCTGACCATTACTCATGGCTTTCTTCAACATAATTACATTGAGTTCTGCTGTTAATAATGTTACAAGATCCCCATCTAGTGGTTTATGGTGAATGTTACAGATGTAAGACTGCAATAGCTACTTCATTCAAATCTAATCTTTGTTTGAATATAGGATAAATAAATATACTTGTATTTACTATTTCCAGGGCTCTTGCTTAAACAATTCTGCAGCTGCCTCATTGTTGTTTTAATTAGAACCGAAATTGTATAATATGCTAATATTTTGAAAATCCATACTAGATAGTGGAAACTAATTAATATATTACAAGGATAAATTAGGTATTTCTGTGCCAGATGTGAGAGCTAATTAAGTTGTCTTCATATCCTAAAAAAGGAAGCAGCTCAAAGAGATACATATCTTTAATTTGACTGTAATATGAAACATCAACACTGTAAGACAATTTTACAACCCTGGTCCTGGGAAACACAAGTCACTTTCATTGGTTATTTGAGTTTTAGATATGATAAATGGAGAAGGAACGTAGCTTCCAACTATACTGTCCTTTTGCTAGAAGTGTTATAATTGTGTTTAAGAAAAGCCTTTTCACCCAGCTGTACTGTTGACATTAAATCTGGATGTATTTCAGTAAAATAACCCTAATTTGTACAAAATCTGGATCTGGATCAGAGTACAGCTTGGATGAAAGACATTTTCCACTGTCAGATAATGTCAACGGGCTCAGGAGCAGATGGGTCTGGACCAGAGCAGAGCTACCACAACACATGACAGACGGTGGTCTCTGGAACCAACCTCTATGACAGCCTGGACTTATCTTGTCTATCCTGCGAGAATCTGTCCTCTGCCACGAACAAGGGGCTAGGTTACCATGCATCTATGTCCTTTAGTTTTTTTGGTCACGATTATTAAAATGTCATAATAATAGATCATTCAGATACTAATTGCCAAAATTATTCTCAAAACTGTGCCTGTGTTGCCAAAATGCAAAGTATTTCACTATCATTCAAATCTATATCATGCAACTAAACCTACTTTAGCATTACAGTTGAATATAACACAAGGATTAACCAAAGGAATAGACCGATTTAAGAGATTATAGTATGTTATTATAATATCACTGTATGAACTTGCATCCTACACTATTCTCTGCAATGTGACCACATTTTTACTCAAAATACTGCTAAAAACACAGTTGTATAGCCTAAAAACAAACCTAATATAAAGAAAATATATTTGTATTTATTTACAGGACTGTTTACTTGCAGTGACTCAAAGCAGACTCAACTCTGTGCAGTTTACATCCGAGTGGCCCGGCGTTACTAGCCAAACACCTCACACGCCAGGAGGATGCACCGCCGGAAACAACCTACCCTGCCTCCCCTCCCCTGCGCGCGGACCTTATATGATTGACTCATTGGCCAGACCAATCGCGTGCCCACTTCCCTGTTTTCCACATCCAATCATTAAGCCGGAATTCGTACACATATTTTACGGCGCACTCACGGTAGGTTGAACCGGCTGAGGTCCATAGCAATTTGACAGCTTCACAGGTGAGACAACCGTCCAGAGGCTGTTTCACTTTACATTCCAGTTTTTCCCCTGAGCACTGTTCACTGTGAGCCTGGGGTTGTCACACTCAAAAAACAACCATTCGAAGTCAAACCATTCCGGCAGCATGAGCAAAAAGAAAAAGGACTGGAAGACTGAAAAAGGTAAGGCATGTTTTGGGGAGAATGGGGCTATTATCATCTCTATGGCAGACAGCATGAATTCAACCATGCCAGTAAATGGACAGCCACTCTTTCGGTCTTCTCCGTGTTGCCGTGACACTACTTTACTATCTAGACTATCCGTTGGACAAAACACGGTCACTGTACAGATGTTATAATGATGTGCGCCTCTGTTTAGCTGCCGTAATGCATGTTTGACATTCGCCAGCAACACTGTTCACATAGTGCTTCTTGCCTGATTATTAGCTTAAACGTAAGGCTCCCGCATATTTTTGTCCCTTAGACTACTCATAACTAACATATCCTGCCTTCCACCTGTGTGATACACCAACAGTAGCTCCCTCTACTTCTCTGCTACATCATATTCCTGTAGCAGCAGACACGCCGTAGCAAAACAAAGACACATAACGTATAAAGGTTTAAGACGTGCTTAATAATGTCTTTCAAAGTGAAAGTTGCCCATGACACATAACACTGAGACTCGCTTCCTTGACTCCAAATTATTTCAGTTTCAGAAACATGAACAGGATATACCTGTTGTTCTCAAGGAATTTATGCTAACTCTATCTATATTTATAAGATATTTGATTCTTGACACAGTGGAGCTTTTCTCATTGTAGATGTGTTCACTTGTCCCAGTAGGTTCAGCACAGGTGTTATCAGACGAATTAGGGAGAGCTCAATTTCATTTATGCCACATTGTACACGTGTCACTGACAGTGTTGTGCTAGTTACTGAAAACCAGTAACTAGTTACCATTACTAGTTACTTCATGTCAAAAGTAACTCAGTTACTTTACCAGTTACCTACACCCAAAAGTAATGCGTTACTGTGAAAAGTAACGTTTTAGTTACTTGAAAAAAGGGCTCCCATTAATGCCCTTATAGCCTTCATTTCAGTACTGTTATTGCATTGAAGAATAATACAATCTGTTGATCGACTTGACATGCCTTATATGCAATCTGGATTGCATCGATATTAGCTGGCTTTCCATTTTTGTATATTCTTTCTCCAGGTAGTTGGAAAAAGTTTTCCGTCCCATATGCCGTGTGCCGCCCGGACATGCTATCATGCTAACTAGCTCCCTGAAAGCGGGTGACTCCACTGTAGCAATAGCCTGCATGTGTTCTACAACATACCGTGCAATGGCTTTATCGACTTTTCCCTGGCTAGCAGTCCCTTGGTTAAAATCCAGCCGCTGTTGCTTAGGTGGAGGTGGAGTGGCGTCGGCTGAGTCTCTGTGTTCTTAGCTACTAGCTTCGTCCCAGCATGTTGTTTTTGCAGATGTTTTAAGAGATTTGAATGACTGGTTTGGGCAGTAGATAGGATCTTTGACCCGCCAAGACACAACTTACATTTAACTAAAACGTTATTTTCTTTGTGCTCGACAAAAGTGAAATAGTGAGAATATCTCCAGGTGGAGAAACTAGACTTGAGCTCCGCCGCCGCCATGATAGTCTTGTTAGTAAACAACACAAACACGCCCACAGCCCGTCTCCACATGTGACACAGGAAGTATCTAAGTACATTTACTCAAGTACTTAAGTACAGTTCTCATCTCTGTTCGCCTGGCTGTTGACTATATAAAAAACTAACGGAGTAACGGAGTAACGCACCATGTAGTAACGGTAACTGAGTTACTGCATTTAAAAAGCAATGCGTTAGAGTACTAGTTACTGCCGAAAATAACGGCGTTACAGTAACGCGTTACTTTTTACGTGTTAGTCCCAACACTGGTCACTGAGCATGCATAACACAAGGGCCTTTCTACTAGTAGCCATCATTAAGATTATTCATTCCACCTGTGGTCCGACAGTACATGACAATGTATTTCAACGTTATCGAACTGTATTCCATAATATTACACTTGCTGAAGTGAACTACTGATTCAGACAATATCCAGCCCTGGCTTCTGTTCAGAATTATTGTAGCCTCAATTATGAACTTGAATTGTTTCTAATTATTGCTGATATTTTTGAGGAGTTAGTGATTCAAATAGTTTTGATGCCGGCTAGTTTTTCATGTGAAATACTGCAGCAGTTGAGTCGTCTCACTTTCAAACCTGTTCACTCACAAGCTTTTTATTTTTTTATAAATGTATGGGAACATTTCTATCATGGTCATTTCAATTCTCTGAGCAAAGGTAATAATTAATCTTAGCTAACCATTTCCAGTTTGAGCAGGTAGCAGCATGTAATGAACATCAAAGTAAGTCAGATTTCATATTCTGAGCATACACCCCTCTAGCTCAAATTGCATTAAGAGGAGATCAAGGCTAGTCAAAATGTGAATAGGAGAAACTCTGAAATGTAAGGAATTTAATGTTATTATTTTTTAACTAGTTTGTCTGTTGGTGCGAGAAGCACTACTAAAAATGTTAAATTATTGTAAATTGGGTTGGTAAAATGAACATTATTTAAAAATTGGCTAAAACATACAGGGTTGCAGGATGCCGTCTATTCTGAATTTGGATAACTTTTTTAAACAAACCAAACTAAATAAGAAACATTACATTGGATATAAATAGTAAAAAGCTACATTAAGTGAGATGGAATTAGACACATCTAATTGTATTTGTTATCACTATTATTTTGTGGTGGTGATGAGTGAAGGGCCATCCCATCCAGTACTCACCAAGTACAGAAGAAAAAAAAGATGGCACTTCGCAGTTATTCCCCCGGGAACACAATTGTGTTACTCATATTTAATAAAGCACATTTTGGGCCCAGACTGTTCTCATGGCATCCTATCCAAGCTTTGGGCTTTCTTCAACAGCGATTTGTTCAGCAGAGTGACAAAGCGCTTAACTCCAGAGAGCTTTGCTGTGTTCAACCTCAGAAGAACTGCCTCTTTATTCATCCATGTAGAATAAAAGCAACCTTGGGAATGGCAGGAGTGGGCAAGAGGGAGAGAAAATACATTAGAGATAGAATGGATATCCCTAAATGCGGGAATACCTTTTAATTATAGCGTGATATACTGCAGTATGTTGCCATAAGATCCACTTAGGATCCTTGTATTTCTCTTCATAACTTGGTCCGCATCGACTGCCTTAATATTTAGGGGAAGATTATAAGTCTCTGTTGTTGTTGTTGTTATGAAAGCATCAAAGCTTAGACGTCAACATTTTGCTTTAGAGAACTTGATTTTTCTGTGTACTGTTGTTTCCAATCCAGTTGCTTAAACTGTTTCATAGAGGGGAGGTTTTAGGAGGCATGAACTAAGGATGATACTTTTCAGAACAGGCCATTGTTGTTTTGAGAAACATTAGGAAGCTGCCACTTATGTTGGAATTTATTTCAAATCAAAACGGGATAACAAGAATGACTCAAACTTGTGACACAGCAGCTTAGCTAACTAGAGATGGCTTAAAAGTTAGAATTGGGAACATATTTCTTTATATCGAGTTCATTTTTTCAAAACTGTTCCGCTCAGCAGTAGTTCATCTTAAAACCAAACAAACTCATGCAACCACAACACTTTCTACACGTGTCCAAATCCAACAATGACTTAATATTGTAAGAACAGTTAGCATCACAATATGTATCACTATTGTATTTTGAAATATATTTTATTCCTGTTTAACATAAACAAATATACTAGCATGAATATAGGTTATTCCAGTAATGCAATATAAAACTAAACTATACATACAGTATATTCACTAAACATACTTTCATATAGAAACCTAGCAGTGCAAGCTAACCCAGGGTTGCCAACTTTGGGTACCTGGCTGGAGTGAGATTTTGATATCATGGGTTTGATTACACATATGCGCACGAAATGACTGCTATCGTGTCAGTAGCGGGACCTTAGCATATATATAGGATATATAGGCTATACAATATATACAAATACACAATATTGGACACAGACTATAAAGGGCACAAAGTTTCATTCACTAATGAAAGTCAAACACATGTTTGTTTCCACTGTTTTATTGTGTGCCTGTCGCGATAAGCACTTAATTGACTTATCGTACGATAAATAAAAATGAACTCGATACATTTCCATTTACATGAGGATGTGACTAGCAGTTTGAAAGGATGTACTTGAATTATTATTATATATTATCATTATGTCAGTGGTCTAAAATGGTCATACAACGGTGCCGACAATATTATCGTTTATCGCAATAATTTCCGGGAAAATGTATCCAACAAAATTAATTATCGTGAGAGGCCCATACATGAAACACACACACAAACAAATCTACAGACTTACTCCAAACTGCCAAATATGTTAATTAACACACTCTATTTTGGCCTAGTAGAACAATAAGCAGCAGACTTTTACTTTTTTATAATTTCTACTGGATCTTAGATCTGCGCTTGCGCAATACGGGTCGGCAGCTGCGAGAGAGTATTTTTGTTGGGTAATCCATGGTAGGGCTAACCCATACAGTGGTGGGGCTCAAGTCAGTATTTGCAATGTAATTACATACACGCTCCCCTTGACAGTGAAACGCCACGCGTGAGGGTTAGATTATTTCCCTGTCTCAATCCAAATTGAACTGTATGAAATAAAAAGGCACATTTGTCTTGTAGTAAATAAAAAGGGCGACCTGGAGCCAATCCTGCAATTTCTCCACAGGTGAAAGAGTTAACATGCTGAAAACCCAACCCCTGCAGGGGGGTCTGGGGGGATTCTCCCCCAGGAGATTTTTTGAAATACTAACATAAAATACACATTCTGGTACTCTCTTGAGAAGAAAAATAAATAAATCTATTAGCCATATTTAAAAAAAAAAATGAAGGCCATTTTAGTTTTTTGTTACTTTGTTCTGAAAGCTGAACCTGCTGCTCCTCACAGAGAGAAGAGGCTGTGAATGACTTTACATTGTGGATAAGAGTGGATAGCCCCCATTGTTCTGTGTGTCAAAATGAAAGACAGCCCACACACCTATCAATCATCAAAACCGTGGGGTCTTATTTCATTACGTGTTGATTTCTATCCAAAAGTATTCTCTGTCGGGACTTCCTGCAACAACACCACGCCGTTATCTTGATTCTGATTGGCCAGAAGACATTATCAAAGATGTTCTATTGAGAAGACGATCACTACGTCACAACAGTTTTCAAAACCGTTTCTAGTCTTCGGTATTCTTGTTTTTTGGCGTGAGAATAGTTTGGGCAGCGTGAGATTGAGAGTGAAAGCGTGTGTCACACGCCAGATGCGTGAGAGTTGGCAACCCTGAGCTAACCATGTTATCTGCATTTGGCATTTTTGATACTGCAAGGAGACGTATTGTGTGAAGAGAAATTGAAGATGTTGTTTAATTGTTGATATATTTATGATCCACGTCAAGTATTCAGTTTCGGCGGCATTTCTTCCGTTTTTCCAAAGGTCTTCTCATCAGGGCTCTATAAATAAAGAACTACGGCAGATCTGTAATATGTAATGCAGCCGAACCGTGTATTACAATGCCGTTACGTGATGACTTTCAAAGAGAAAAGCAAGAGCACTCGGAATTAAGTATTTTATTCTTTTAAAATGTTTTCGGATTTCATATAATATAAACACCAAATCCCAGCATGCATTGCGGCTAAAACATCCAATCAGCGAGCTTAAACCATAGCTGAGGATCTTGGGTAATCGCTCGAAATGCCTACGTCTGTTTCCGGTTATTTTTATTTTGAAATTCAGTTCTTGACGGACGGCAAAAAAGCCCGAGATTATGGAATTAAACCAATAAATAAAAGCAAGGATAATTGTGTGTTATTGGTGAGTAAATAACATTGTGTTATTTTGAAAAGAATAACAAATTAGAAGTAAAAAAAGATTTAAAAAATACAGATTTCAGTATCCTGAGGCTCTGAGCCCCATTTATTTTCCTCACAGACGGCAACACTAAAGGTCTAAAATAAAGACCTAAATGAATATTTGGGATGTTCTTTAGATTCTCCCAATAAGTCCAAGTACAGAGGGTGACTTTGCTGTGAAAAAACACATTTCCACCAAAAACACTTAAGCAACCATGAATGTGTACACATTCATGAAGTAATCTTCGTCATAACTAGCAAACTAAACATCATGTACATGTACTGCACAAATAATCAGAAATAAAAACTCATATTACTCGCATAAAATGACATCAAAACGCATTTTAATGGCCAAATGAACCTTAAAATAGGCATTTTCCACCGAGAATAACATGAAGTTCGGCCATTGTTGTTGATCACGTGGTCTATGAAGGTCTATGGGACGCCCTGCCCGTAGAAGCCTGACTGTCAAGGGGTCCGCTGTCCGCAATGAAGGTCTATGGGACGCCCTGCCCGTAGAAGCCTGACTGTCAAGGGGTCCGCTGTCCGCTATGAAGGTCTATGGGACGCCCTGCCCGTAGAAGCCTGACTGTCAAGGGGTCCGCTGTCCGCAATGAAGGTCTATGGGACGCCCTGCCCGTAGAAGCCTGACTTCCAAGGGGTACCCTGTACGTAATAGAGTGACGGGGAGGGGCCCTGACCGTCCGTCAATATGTGACGGGATGGGACACACACACACACACACACACACACACACACACACACACACACACACACACACACACACACACACACACACACACACACACACACACACACACACACACACACACACACACACACACACACACACACACACACCTCCCTCCTTCATAATGCGCCTTCTCCTCGTTTGCCCATCACTGGATTATCCGTAAATCATACAAACAAAACCAAAACGTTGATTTATCTGTTTTCCCGTTTTGGTTTAAAAATTGAATAACGTCGGTTTTTTGGTTTTCCGTTTTTCTGAAAAACCAAAAAATGACACCGGTTCTTTTTTAAATGTTGTTAATATGTTTTGGATGCATATTGTTCTAGTATTTGTTCAGGCTGTTACATACAATTAGCCTCTGTTGCTACCTGCTGGTGGTGAGTAAATATTAAAATCAGTTAAAATTGACAACCGGTCCGCGATTTTTTTTTTAATGTATCTGCCGGTCCTTGGCACAATAAAGGTTGGGAACCCCTGCTGTAAACGACTCCTGACTAGAAGAGAAATATGTCTGGATTCTACTTCACCTGAAGCATTTCATAAGGGTCATTCATGAATGAACATAGATGGTTAGAGTTGTGTGTCACAATTAGGAGTTTTGGTGGCGGTTGACAGTTCTATTAAAATGTTTGAATTGTTGGTAGTTCTGACAAAGTCAATGTATCAATATACTGTAGATCCATCCGTTATGGACACAGTTTGAAAGTCTCACTCTTCGGTTTGTTAGCCAACGATAGATAATAAACTAAGTCACATACAACTTAATGCAGGTGCAGAGCAGTACCATTTTCACACAGTTTAGAATGGGAAGAAGCTTAGTAACGGGGTTACATAGTCCAGTGGTTCTCATTTGAGATTACCCTTGAGACGCAAGGGTACTGTATGCACAATTTTACTATAACAAACACGCAGTTTCAATTTAACACAACCACATCCAAAAAAGAATTAGAACTAATGAGTTAAATCAACAGGTGGCGCTGATTTGAAGAAGAGCATCCACTCCATGGCTGAGAGCCACTGATGTAGTAAGTTAGCTAGACTGTCATCTAACTAGAATACTTGTTTTCAGAACCCTCACACGGCAAGCAGCAACACTACTGAAGTGCGTTTGAGCCACACTCAAATGACTAACTATCTCCAGGGGTCCTCTTTCATTGCTCATTGTGAACTTGGACTAAGAGAGTTGAAAGGGAATGGGATCATATTATTAGATATCACTTCATTAGAGGTCACATTTTTCATCGAGGCATTTTAGAGAGCCAGGAAGGTGTGGAGCTGGAGCAGTGAGACTCAATCGGTGCCGGAGCAGCAACTGTCCTGTTGGTGGTGGTCCGTTAAAGTCAAGGAATAATGCTGGAAAACTTTGGTAGGACATAAAAAAAAAAAAGACACAGAAGGTTGCAGTTAATTTGTGACCGTTTCTGAAAATACATTTATTTTGTTAATAGCTGTCGGTGCAAGTACCAAGTCTATTTCCCTCTATCTCTTTAATTCTTCATTTGGTCCAGCTTTTTTCTCTCTTGAATATATTGTTTCTTTCATCCACAGAGAGACTGCTCCGTCTAGATCGAGAGGAGAGACGCAAGGAGTATCGTCGTCAAGATTTTATATCTTTGGACAAGATCCCAGCCTGGAGGGAGGAAACTAGACGTAAGAAGGACTGCTTGTTTTTGCTGAGCTGGGTGTTGCTGATAAAACGCATTACGGCTCTGTTGACACAGCCAAGCAGAAACCTGAGTATTCAATCATTCTGGTGGCTAGGTTCACTGTTTTTAAATGTTGTTTTTTTAAAGTATTTTGCCCATTATTGCGCATTTATCCATACTTGTATTGTGTGTGTGTGTGTGTATATATGTGTATATATACTTATATGGAAACATTTTTCCCCATATGCAAATGTTGTTAATGTCTTCCTAACATTTGAATTCGACTATAGTCTATTTGATCAGATATTGAGTATAAACTATCAAATTATCATTTTCTTACCTTTATGAACTTTAACTTTGCTTGACAGACAAAATGAACTACACTAAGCACCATTTTAACCATGACTTCTCAGTAAGTAAAGCCATCTCAAAAAGAAAAAGACCTAGACGCCACCAAGATTGATGTATTGGAACAAAAGGTTTCACATCAATGTAAACCCTTTGGATAAAATGTGGATGCTGGGGGAAATTTGATTTGTAAATGTGTGATAAACTATGCAAAAACCACAGAGAATCGATAAATAAAACCGAGAGAAACACTCTTCTTAATTAAAGCTCTGGCAATGTTAGTTGTCTACCAACAATAACAGCTTAAGAACATCCACAAACCAATACATGCTCAAGTTGTTGTTCCAGTGTGTAGAGAAAAGTAAGTTTCATAGGATTTACAGAATGTTCTTGAATACTCGTTCTAAAAGATAGCAAGAGATGCTACAAAGTTACTTTAGTAGTAGCTACTGTAACTCAATAACAGCAGCCATTAGCATTATGGCTTGTTCTATAACTGTTTTACAGGTTTCATCTTGAAAACAACAAGCACACCTGATAAAGTTTCAGAAAACAGGGTTCCATTTTTTGTTTAAGTAGCAGCATGCTTTGATATTCAGCAGCAATATATATTTTTGAATCATATCTGCCTTTTTTAAATAACATGTTTCAATTTAGACATAGTCATCAATTGATGTTCAGTGAAGTTGATGCTACTTTGTTTAGGAGTGCTTGGTGATATTCACACAACTGCTGTGGTGTGTTTTCTAAATGAAACAAGGTATAATAACGTTTGAGGGCAGTCTGGGAGGATCTTAGCTGATTTATTTCCCCTGAGAAGCAGTATGAAACAGAATTGCTGATTCACAGCTCCTTGGTTATTAACATTTCTTGGCTCGACTCTGAAAGGAGGCTACTCTACAAAATAGTCCTGTCTAAACTTTCCAGGCTTTTAATCCTAATCATTGACTATTTCATAGAAATGATCAAAACACTGCATCACATCATTAACAAGTGTACTATATGGAATAAGGAATAGGACAAAGGTGACTACAAATATTCATGTTTTGATTGAAAATCCATGGTGCTCAAATGATATTACAGTACGTACATTAACGTCCACTCTTATTGTATTTAAATGAATTTATTTTATAAATGAAATGGGAATAATGGATGCATTGTGTCTTTTTTATTTCTTCATCAACACCTGCCTGTTTAAGTTATGATTGTGTCTTTTAAAAGCCATTCATGAAACTACTCCGTATTACTCTACTAGGAAGAAATCATGTTAATGTGCTTACATTAATGCAATAAGTTCAAGTTATCTTCTTTTTTTTTTTTTAGCCAATGACAAAGAGGAGGTGAAGGAGCTGACAGATGGAGGAGGCCCAAGAAATAAAGTATCTCTCTACAAAGGAGATATTACCGTCTTGGAGGTGGATGCCATAGTCAATGCTGGTAAGGATCTGCCCTTTGACCTTTGGGAGCTGCTGGTTGGTGTTTGCTGCTTGAAGGCACCTCGGCTTTTAAATTGTCCTTGGCTGCCCTCTACTGTTGAGTCTCACAAAGTGATTTTCCTGAGGCAATGCACAAGTGATGAGTGTTATTGAGGCAAATGTAAAATCTACTCCTGATGATTTGACTTCCTTTTGGTTGAAATCAAGTGACTAACATTTTCTTAGTCAACATTGTTTTTTCAGCTCTTTCCTATACCCTGTCCCAGTGAACCACAAGGTTAATGTCTCTATTGATGTTGGTTTAGCAGTTATACTCATGACATTTGTGTGCTGTAATGATTAGAGGTCACATATCCAATGCTGCTGTTATAGAATCATTGGGGTGAGAAGGAAAGCCTTTGATTTGTGCTGCTGTTATGTAATTTTCTGCAGTCTGCTCACAACCTACACAGTCGGAGGAGGACAGGTGCTAAAATATTACTTTACCTGTTGCTACTGATGCTGAGGGGCCATTTTTCAGCTATAGACTTAATAGCTCCACACCAAAGCTGTATAGAAGCAGTATATCATGAAACATGGTCTTCTTTGGCATTCTGCAGTCCTAACTCATAGCTTTTCCTTCCTCATGCAGTATTTGTAAACACTCACATAAACACATTACAGTCTACTAAGCAGGGTGCATCTCGGGTGAAATGAATACACTGTAATTTATGAAAGATTAATAGCTGTGAAAAACAGACTGCTCTGTTGGATAAGGCTAATGAATTTAATACATTATGTAAATCCCCATTCTAATGAGATAAGGTGACATGACATTCTGAATAGTTGTCAGCATCATGTAACATGCACAGACACCTTACAAATACCTAAAATGTCATGGCAATTGTTTAACATCTTGACCTATACAAATGCAGCATTCTGAGCTTATATTATATATTCACAAAGTTTGTATTTTGTTGACTTTTATGATAACAGCTACCTGTGTGAATTGCCATTGTTCGCAAAGTGATGCTGTCAATGTACTTTCATGTGAATTAGGTGCCAGAGTGCAGGCTTGTGCCGGCTCTAAAGCCTGGATTGATATGTTACTCATGCTAAGAGTCACTGAGACCAGAACATTGTGTTACTGGTATTACTGTTTATTCTTAACTAATCAAGGTTAGGGCAGTGGATATGGTGAACAGTGTTAGTGAAAATGGTAAAATAGCGCATATTGGAATGGAAATGAGGTTTCAGAGAGTGCATTGTTGTTTTAAGTTTCAAAGCGTTGAATACTATTGTAGCAAAGTCAGGCAGATGACTTCAGCAGTTAATGCCGCCAGGCGCCCAGGCTCTGATTGAGCTTCATTTGGCCAGGGGGTAATACATTCTGTTAGCAGGCTGTCAGAGGGCCTGAAAGGTTCAAGGAATTGCTGAAGCCTTTTATCATTTCCAGAAGGTCTCAGCCGTCGGCCGCTGTTTCTCTTTCTGAACTGCCGGACCAGTTGTCTTTGTACAGGTGGTTGGACAGATAAGAACATAGTGGTAGGCTTTGCTGCCCAGTTTTGTTCACCATCTATAACCGCTCTGCTCAGCAACAGTAGTATGTTGTGAATATAAATAGATTGTTCCAGACCATGTTGTTTTGTCATTGTAACAATAGACAATGATTTTACAGTGTGGCATTAAAATACAAACTCTTAGTTGAATAGGTTGGACAAGCTCTGGCAATAGTGGCTCTTGTCCAAATGTTTGTGACTAACACAGTTCTGAGCTGCATGTGAGCAAACATTGCGGATGCTGGGCCACAGAGTTTGATAAGATCTTTGGATGGTTTGTTCAACTTCTTGCCTTTCATCTATTCATGCCCTTCCAATCTCTAGCCTGCAGTACTTCCATTTACCCATGCTGCTTTTCCATTTAGGGTTGGCAGGAGGACCGCTTTCAATCCAGTGTGGGACTTTCTGAGCCATGAGAAAGTATTAACCTAAAAGTAAATGAGCTCTCAGATAATCTTTTTCTCCCATTTTAAAATACTGGATACTATTATGCAAATAGTTAAATGTCAAAGTTGCTGTCTGAGAAGGAATAAATACATCTTATCTAATTACAACTTATTAAGGCTACTTATTTGACCCTTCTGTGATTCTATTGATGTGTATTTAGGTACAGGAGCAGGATGTCCATATAATCCTTTTCTGGTCTTCCTATTGTAAAGTTAGGACTCTTTGTCCCTGAATTTAGGCAATTCAGAATAAGAATATTAATTGATACTGTTATGTGAGACGGAAATATTGAAAGTTCTGATTATGTTATATGGCACAAGCCATTTTGTAAGATGGAAGCTAAACTAATGAGTTCCTATCTAAGACTGCATTCACATGATGGCAAAGCTGCAGTGTTTACTAGCTTGCAGCAGACATGTTGTCTTTAATTATTCACCTCACATTTTAAATGTACTTTATAACCCAAAGGAGCAACATTTGTGCAAACTGCTTTTGTCATGACGGCAGCAATATGTTTGCAATGAAGAAAAGGTTTGCAATTTGAGGCGACTCATGCCAGCTTGGTGCTGCTGTTATGGTAGCCGCCTATAGCTTTTAAAGGGTGTTAAATAGCTTTATGCCCATCATTAAAGTTTAATTATTAGGCTCATTGAGTTTTTTATTCTTTCTTAATTCTATTTGGCTGGATGTTGGACAGAATGTGTTCCCATTACCTGGGGAGAGCCTGGAGAGTGCAGGACAGGAGGGGCTGTGGTGACGATTGGTAAAGTGCATGGGTTGAGGGCAGGGGGGATGGCTCGACTCTGCCCTCTTTTGATAGTGAGTCTGCATTTCTCTGCCACCAAACTGCATACAGTGTTGTTGGCTTCCTAATAATGTTTTCAACCATTAAAGTGATCTCATTTCTATTTATCAAGCACACTGTCAAGCTTTCATCTTTGAAGTGCTGACTGTTTTTTTTCTCTAGATATTGATTGCCCGAGTGTGCAAAAGTGTCTGTACAGACATAATGCAATTTTAGTTTTTATATAATATGTATAATTCTATAATGTTTGGCATGCAAGTGAAACCACTCTCTTGCTCAGTATTTTTGACACATTTCAAAGAATGTCCCTGATCCTCTTGTAGCCCAACTTGTTGGCATATATCTTTTTGGGAAATGTACTGGACAATGATCAGTGGAAGAAAGAGACGGTCACACTTAATCAAGACTTGTTTAATAGAAAATCGCAGGGTTCACTGAAAGTTGAAAGTATGCTGAAATTTGATGTTAAATGTAAAGCCCGTCGTTACTATTGCTTTTACATGGCAAACACAAGATCATCCACTCCATTTTTCTCCTCATCTTTGTGCATGGAGTTCATCTGAATGTCACCATCCCTCCCAGATAAGAACGAGTTAGTAAAGATAGCAGCACGATGTGGAGATGAGTTTTCCTATCATGATGACTGTGGTAATTATGCACAGGGGGTTGCCTCCTAATCCATTACCCGCTGCAAACCTTTCCCATCTTTCTGTATTAGATCATTTTTTAAAGCAGCCAATTTAGTGTGCAAAGGAAATCTGGTTATGAACACTATAAAGAACCTGGAGGGGTTGAGATGAGTGCGAGAGAGGCAATTGGTATGCAGTTGTAGGGAGCTGCTCTACTGCAGTCATCACAGGTTTGATGAGAGCATTGACCCTCGGAGGGCGGAATACAGTGATCCAGTGGAGATTGACTTTTATGCGTTTTTTGATATGTAGTCCATTCAAACATTGTTTGCCTGTAGGGCTGCTCGGCACACAGGCAGCACTGTTTACCTTCTTGGTCAATCATGCATACAAATAAAGTACAATACAGAAGGCTACGTGCCCTGGCCCTGCTACTGAATAGAAAACAATGTACATCTATGGTGAGAGCAAGGTAACGTTGTTGTTGCGTGGTTAATATTGGTCATCGTAAAATGTTAAATAAGATCTTGACTTCTTGATCTTGAATCTATTAGCTTTCCTCTGTGTTGTGCCAGGTACAAGTTAAAGATGACAAAATTGCCTTCCAAATCGTTTTTATTTAATCTAAATTGCGCTTGAACTATACTTCTTGCCCCAGTGTTAAATGATCAGTGCAAATGAAACCAGAACAAGACATGGATGTGTTTTTGGAATATTTCAGGCAACATTCTATTGAGAACAATACAAACAATGATTGAATCATCCATCATTATCTGTGTTATGAAAAACAGCAGCTATATGCAAGAACATGTATTGTAGCATGAATATATGATCAGCAAAGTGCCAGATTCTTATTGAAGGAAGAAAAGTCTTTCTTACTTCATTTTAAGGGTGAGGGAAGTGTGTGGTAGTTGCGCTTCATCCTTCCTTCTTATTAGAAACCTCAGGAGTTGGTGCAGAGCAGCACCAGTGCAGTGTAATGGCGTGTAATGTCCAGAGAATATCATATGCTTCTCTGAGACATGAGCCTTAATGGAGAGCACTATCTTATTTATTAGGGAATGACTCTGAGTGCTCTGGTAATATTTTAGCCCGCATAGCACGAATAAAAACTAGATGTGACATTTTTATTTTCATGCCGAGTTCTTGGTCTATAGACAGACTCTGAAAATATAGACTATTCAATTTTCACTCTTCCTAACTTTAGAGTTATTTTTAAATATCTAGATGTAATGTAACAACATATTATTCTCTTTTCTATTTTGCAAACGTCAAATCGGTGCTGATAGATATAGATTGTCTTAACAAAACCCCCATACAGATCAAGACCAGACTGTAGCATGACACGCCGAAGAATGATGACGATCACAATTCACTTTTTGCTTTTCCATTCGCCTAAGTGATTGATAAAGCCCATGACTTTTGGTTTTGCTACTTACTGTTTGGGGATCTTGTCAGCATACTCTCTTCATTAGATTTTCTGTCAGGCCAGGATTTGCTGCACACTCTCAGCCCCTGGAGAGTCTGGCTCGTCGGGTCTATCCGTCTCTCTGCAGACTCACACCCTGTGCCATAACCTCCC